CTCACCAGAAGAGCAACTCGACAACGCCACACCTCGCCGCGAGTCACTTCAACCAAACCCGACGTACGCCGCCATCGCCCAAAGCGAACCATCCGGAAAAGACATTTGGTTCTTGGACAGTTGCTGCGGGCAACACATGTGCTCCTCGGGCCGCTTCGTGCAGCGAGAATACCAACTTCAACGCGAAGTAGTTATCACCATCGCCAACAACCAAAACCTGCGCACACGACGACAAGGAGTGGTTCAACTTCAGTCACGAGAAACAAACGTGATACTACAGATGTCAAAGGTTCTGATAGCAGAAGGACTTGGATATAACTTACTCAGCGTCAGCCAGCTGATGGCGAAGGGCATCCATCTCGAAGCAGACAGCACCACTCAAGAATTCAAGTTGTACCACGGAAGAGGAGGCCTTTACATCGGAAAGGCGGTCCTGAAAAATAACGTTTTCGTTCTTGACTTCGTTCCCGGTCTCGGCGCCGCCGACACCGACGCTATCGTTAGCTTCACCAACTGGACGTACCCACCAGATCTTGATCCAGACTTCAGTCCAGAAGGCTTCTGGTACTCACACACCATCCCTGAGGTAGAAAGAACAAGGGCGTTAGCAACGATCCAACACTCGGCAGCAGCAGAGACAACATCGGCAGCAGCAGAGACAACATCCGCAGCAGCAGAAACAACATCGGCAGCAGTAGAGTCAACATCGGCTGCAGCAGAAACAACATCCGCAGCAGCAGAGACAACATCGGCAGCAGTAGAGACAACATCAGCAGCAGCAGGGACAACGATAGCAGCAGCAGCAACATCGACACCAATCGCTGGTCCTTCAACGGCACCAGTCTTCATCGACGACTCGCCACCGACGCTCGCACAACAGCTGAACCCAACTCGACGAGAAGCTCATCGAAGCGCCAACCTCACCGCAAGCTTCTACTCCAACTCCGACCTGTACCGACAATCACCCGGGCATCGCACCGTCGAAAGCACCTGGCACGCAAGGATGGGACACCCAAGCAACATAGTGTTAAACAACACAATACGAGCGAGAGTACTCAACAAGGATTCATTACTACTGACCGACGGGAGAGAACTTCAACGAGTACGTGGGACATGCTTCACCTGTCCTGAAGCTGACTTACCGCATCAACCGTTTACGTCTCACCAGAACCCAAGCGCTCCGGTCTACGCACCCCTTGAAAAGGTGTACAGCGACATTCTGTACAACCGCGCTCCCGGACAAAACGCATACAACTACACCATCACGTTTATTGACGCAGCAACACGCTACGTCTGGCATCTCAACCTTCCGAGCAGGAACATGGCCTTCGAAGCCTTCGTCGCATGGCTCCCTGCAGCAGAACGAGAATCGGGCGTCAAGCTAAAGAGTTTCCAGTCAGACGGGGGAGGAGAATACACCTCACAGAGATTCAAGTAGTACTTGGCAGAGAGAGGAATCAAGAGACTCATCTCCCTTCCCTACGCCCATCAACAGCAAGGTGTAGCCGAAAGGATGAACAGGACCCTCCAGAATACCATGCGGAAACTGCTGCGTGGCATGCGGCTACCCGACCACCAGTGGCCCGAAGGAGTGGAGCACGCTGTCATGCTACACAACTTGCTGTCCTCGTCGTCACTCCCAAACAACGCATCACCACATCTGCTGTGGACAGGAAATTTGGGCAGCACCAAAATGTTACGAGTCTTCGGCATGGTACAGTACCGACCCCCATCTGCACGAGCCGGCCAATTCTCCCAACGCGCACAGTGGGGACTACACCTGGGCATTGAAAAACATTACAACGCGTGGAAGATTTTCGACGTCGAGACAAAAAAAACAGTGGCAGCACGTGATGTCATTTTCTACGAGCGACTCACACTACCAACATACCTGGCCAACGTCGAAGAACACAACCCTGACCTCTCGGGCGGATTTCGTGGCGATCGAGCCTTCGCCTCGGCAGAAGACGAAGCTGACTGGGATGAGCAGACCGTGGAAGGAGCCTCGGAAGAAGCCGGACCCCGCCCCTACTACTCCGTAGACGTACCAATGGACGACGAAAACCCACGTGAAAGCATCAACGCCGAAACCTACTACCACTTCGCCGACAACGGTTACGTTACACCTGCACAAGTCAACACCAATGAAGCAGAACGTGTAGGACCAAACTTCAATCCTACACCAGAAACGGGAGACGAAGCAGTTTATCCCGAGGACACCACACTTCCCCGCTACACACAGAGTGGACTTCAGATACTTGGGCTCGTCACCGCGGTCCACGGCACCGCGATTCCTAAGGAGTCTGCGACAGTTCAGCAGGCTCTGGGCGGGGAGCATAAGGAAAAATGGCGCGAAGCCATGGATAGGGAACTGAAAGCACTGGAGGAACGCAACACGTGGAAAATTCTTCCCATCGGCGTAGCATGAAACAAGACGATTCTCACCGGAAAATGGGTCTTCCGTGTGAAGACAAAGGCCGACGGCACCATCGACAAATTTAAGGCACGCTGGGTCGTACGCGGCTTCGACCAAGAGCACGGACGCGATTTCACCGAAACATTCGCTCCGGTCAGCCGACACACCTCGCTACGCATCCTTCTCGCGATCGCCGCCATGAAGAAGAAGCTGCGACAAATCGACGTCGCTAACGCGTTCCTCTGCGCACCTGTTGACGCAGAGATCTTCGTCGAGCTACCACACGGCTCCAGCACGGACTCGAACCACGTCTGTCAACTACTCAAGTCGCTTTACGGCATCAAGCAAGCTCCGCGACTATGGCAACAATACCTACACGCTCGCCTCATTCGGATCGGCTTCAAGCAATTGCCGCACGACCACGGCATGTACCGGCTCACGAAGGGTACCAACTACATCCTGCTAATCGTCTATGTAGACGATCTGCTCTACATCGGCTCAACTGACGGCATTACAACCTGGTTCGAAGGGGAGCTACAGCAAGACCTCACACTCACGGTCTCATCTACCGTCACACAGTACCTCGGCCTCAACATCTGGGAAGAGGAAGACGCTATCTACCTCAGCGCCGCGAAATACGCCGACACCATCGCCAAGCGTTTCGCACTCATACCGACTGTCATCTCCACACCGTACCACTACATGACAGCAAACAACAAGGAAGGCTCCGCTCTACTCAAGCCCGCCGGCATACGCGACTACCAGAGAAAGCTGGGCTGCCTTCTCTTCGCAGCTGTCACCTGCCGCCCAGATCTATCCTACTCTGCAAGCCAGCTAACCACCCACCTCAAGAAGCCTGAAGCGGAACATCTGGCGAAGCTCGACCGGGCTCTTCACTACCTTGTCAGTACCCCGACGGTCGGCCTGACTTACCATAAGAACGCAACTACAACGCCTAAGCTAATCGGTTACGTCGACGCAGATCACGCGGGCGACTCTGACAACAGACGATCGCGCATCGGCTACATCTACCGCTTCGAGCCTATTGGTCCTGTCTCCTGGCAGTCGTGAAAGCAGGAATTAATCGCTCTCTCCTCAGCTGAAGCAGAATATATCGCACTTTGCTCAGCCACCAAGGAAGGACTGTACCTTCGCGAACTCCTGGAGGAAGCCAAGCTAGCCCAGTTACCGAACTTCACCCTGTTCTGCGACAACCAGTCGGCCATTCGCATAGCCAACAAGAACGGCTTCGCGAACAAGACAAAACACATCGCCCTGCGATATTTCTTCGTGAAATATGAGATTGAGAAGGGGAGACTCGAGCTGTCATATTGCCCCACGTCCGAGATGGCAGCTGATTGCTTAACCAAGAAGCTCGGAAAACAGAAGTTCGAGTACTGCATGCTGCTGACTGGACAGAGCCACGTCATCAGCAGCGACACTCCAGAAGCGAAGGGGACTGTTGGAAACAACTGATTCTAAGCGCCTCTGTTGTGTCGAAACACCAAGGCACAAGCGAAGCACAACATATCGCAGCATCAGCGAGTCAACCCTCGGAGGTTGAGCAATTGCTGGAGGTTACGCGAAAGTCAAAGGTCAGGGACCTTTGACCTGACAAGTACAGCGCGACAGCAAGGACACACAACTGACTCGCTACAGAGCAGTTGCCCGAGTCGTCACTATATCGAACCGCAACAGCAACAGTAAAGAAGTTATTACTGTATATCTTCGTATTCCTTGTACTCTTATATAATCATATATCTCCTTGCTTTAATTAACTTACTTTGCCCTCACATACCAGCGCAAGGTGGTTCAACCTCTTCATTACCGTAAAACGCTTCCGCTATTACATCAGTCCTACCCAGAGTTCACCCCTGCAAAGATCCTACGGTAAGGGCTATTTTCTCAGCCCAACATCATTGAGTCATCACAGTGTCATCTTTCTACTTTTCAATGATCAATGCAAGATTTCTATCTTGTTCGTTTCTACAAACACGTTCCCGCTACGCTGGCACTATGCCTTTCTAGTAGCATCTACCGTGAACTTGATGACCCCATAAACGGGCTTGCATGGGGAACTACGTTAACGGATGTGGTCCTCCGTTCACGGTGGATGCGACATTTGATTTCTCACATCGACGCGTGCATGCAATTTCACGTCAGCAGAAACGCAGTTCGAACCCATCGCCACTTCGCCCATCACCTCGATCTAAGATTTCCTAGTAGCTGCAGCAGCAATCGTTCTAAGCTTGAAGGTCTTGGATGCTAGGGCTCTCTGGCGAATGCGCAGATGCTGACTCATGGCGAGTGAGGCCACCTACTGGTACGCTCTTGGTAAGATCGAGACTCGGGGATGCAATGAAGAATGTGATGAGGTTGGAATCGGTTTGGAGGATTACTCCAACAGCCAATTGGAATACCCAGTGAACTATGGAGTGGAGAGAGCAGAATTGATTCCATTGCACTATTGAGCCAGATACATGAGAGCAAACGAGAGTGCAGAGCATTCTGATACAATCGCATCCTCTCCTTCAGCCTCTGCACAGTCGGCACACAAGACACCCAGCGCACGCCTTGCAGACATCTACACGAAGGTGTTGGGGCGGGAGGCCTTGAAGGTGGTCTTGAGGGAGCGCGAGGAGGCGCGCACGGAGCGGTTGGGCAGGGGGAAGCGGACCTTGTCTCCGATGAACTGCAGCGTGTTCACTCGCTTCACCTTGTCGTCCGGCACCTCCGCTGTCTTGATGATCTGGTTGGGGGGAAAAAGGAGGGTGGAGGGGGGAGGAATGAGGAAACATATGAATGGAAACACACTGAAGCGTTGACACAGGACGCAGTGGAAGTGCGTGCGGCCAGCTATTCACAACGCCCTTCCACCGCATCCCACCGCACTCCACTGCACCCCACCGCATCCCGCCGCACTGCATCACTGTCCCCAGCACGCACCTGGATGCCGTGGAAGCGCACGCGGTGGCGCGAGGCTATCTCGTCGTACATCTGCTGCACGGCGCCATTGAGCGTGGTGTTGCGGTACTCCTTGTACATGTTGTGGTACCCCGTGCGGTTCTGGTACCGCACCCCACCGCACTCCACCCACTCACTACCACCACCACATTCCATCCAACCCCTCACGGAACCTCACCTCACCGCACTCCACCGCACCACGTTGCAGTGACTCCCCTTGACGCAGTGGAAGTGCGCGCGGCCAGCTATTCACAGCACTCCCCCCCCCCACCGCATCCCAACCTACTACTGAACTATTCCACCGCACTGAACCGCCTGTTCTTAACGCACCTGGATGCCGTGGAAGCGCACGCGGTGGCGCGAGGCCATCTCGTCGTACATCTGCTGCACGGCGCCATTAAGCGTGGTGTCGCGGTACTCCTTGTACATGTTGTGGTACCCCGTGCGGCTCTGGTACCGCACCCACATGCCGTAGTTCTTCACCACCGTCGGATTCTTCTCAAAGATCTGGTTGTTGCAAGGAAAAGGGAGCAAAAGGGGAGGAAAATAGGGGAAAGGAAAGAAAAAAGGAAAGGGGAAAAATGGGGAAAGGACCGGGCATAGGGTGGGAGTCGAAGCAGGTGAAGCTTGTGAGGGCGAGAGGTTGAGATAGGGAGACGGTAAAGTAGCTAATGAACTGGTTCCAGTGCCTTTCAGACAAATGCCTCGATGCGTCGTCAGTGCCTGCAGGCTACGACTCGTCATCTTGTTAGTTTCGTCATCCTCAAGACACTCAACCTAACGTGGCTCCCAGGGGGTCTAAATCAACCTTGTATTGAACTAGGAGGATAAGTGTGATGATCCAACATGGAAAACAGATGAAAAAAAAAGAATGATACTGATAAAACTGGAGCAGAAATCTCTCAGACAAATGCCTCGTTGTGTCGTCAGAGCCTATTGGCTACGACTCGTCATCTCAAAAGTTTTTGACATCATCAAGAAAATGAAGCTCCTGGCACAGTACCCCGAAACAGCCGTCCACACAATACCTTGGTGAAAGATGATGAGGATCACAGGGAAACAATCAACGAGCAGAACGAAAACTGGACCGGATATCTTTCATACAAATGCCTCGTTGTGTCGTCAGAGCCTGGTGGCCACGACTCGTCATCTTAAAGTGTTTGACATCATCAAGACAGTAAAGCTGCTGGCACAGCACCATGAAACAGCGCTTGATACCATACCTTGATAGATTGAATGATGATGAGGGTCAGGGATCGACTATGAATGATCAGAACGAGAACAAGACCGGATATCTTTCAGACAAATGCCTCGTTGTGTCGTCAGAGCCTATCGGCTACGACTCGTCATCTTAAAAGTTTTTGACATCATCAAGAAAGCCGTGAACTCTTGCTGTTCCAAGTACTGGTGCTTGGGAATAGCAGGATGGAGAAACAGCCAGATGATCTGGCCAATGAGCGAACTGAGAACAAGAAAAGGGAAAACGAGATACGGAGTCAGTGCCTTTCAGACAAATGCCTCGTGTTTGTCGTCAGAGCCAATCGGCTACGACTCGTCATCTTGTTAGTGTCGTCATCACCAAGACATCCACTCGACTCGACTCGACTCATGCACATGGTGCATTGCTGTGATACCTGACCAAGTACTCGGACAGTACCTCGTAGACTGGGAAGAAGCATGCGAAAAGGAGGGTAGGGGAAGGACTGGAACCATAAATCCTCAAAATCAGATCCGATGTCATTCAGACAAATGCCTCGTGTTTGTCGTCAGTGCCTGCAGGCTACGACTCGTCATCTTAAAAAGTTTTTGTCATCATCAAGACATCGAAGGTTCAGTAACGTACCTTGAAAAAAAAAGGGGGTAGATGAGTACGAAGGTGGCGGAATGAGGACAAGGGATATCAATAAAACTGGACCGGGTATCTCTCAGACAAATGCCTCGTGTTTGTCGTCTCTGCTCGCGAGCTACGACTCGTCATCATAATCGTGTCGTCATCATCAAGACACCAGTTCAACCACGGTATACGTTAGCTAAACTCGGGATAAAACGGAGTAAGTACGAACGACTTGCTGCACACATGGGTAAGGAGATCGATAAAGCTGGAGCGAGCGTCTTCCTGGTAAATGCCTCACGTTTCTCGTCCCACTATTCGGCTACGACTCGTCCGACCCGTCATTTGCTAATATTCGTCATAAAAACGCCCTCCTACAGTCAGTCGCCGTAGATCAGCGACAATGTAACGCAGCGGCTACGGCTCATCTCTCGTTTACCTTCTACATCGGTTTCGGATGGACGGCAATCCTAAAATCTTGCTCTGACGCTTATCTAATTTCACAGTGACGAGGATCGATTAAGGGCTCCAATTGGTCGGGGGAGAATCTTTCAGACAAATGCCTCGTGTTGGTCTTCACGGCCTGACGGCTCCGACTCGTCATCTTGAATGGTTCGTCATCCCCAAGACACTCTCACTCCCACTCGGCCACAGCCCCTATCGTTAACGGCTAAGGCGCCGTTGGTCCGTCTCACACAGGCTGTTCCTGAAAGCCAGGGTCGTTAAACCCTGAACGCTCAAATAGAAACTGTCGCGGTTCTATCTCCACACTGCTGCGCAACAACAGGTGCTGTCAGACAAAACCCGCGCGGTAAGAAACAACTCAAAAGCAGACTCCACTCACTCCATGCCTGTAAGGCGTTACATCTCCGACAACTGGCCTCACGCTCTCAGCCTACCCGGCTAACGGCTGGCAACGACTTGCGTGGCAACAACGCACTCCCCAGTACAATGATTCGGAGAAAATCCGAGGAAGAAGAGGCCGCGAAGACCTAATGTGAAGCACATACCCGAACCAATGACCAAACTATACCCCTTGTGAAATGTTGGAAACCCGACCTTACAGAAGATGGTATACCTGAATTGAGCCCAACACTCGCGTCGTCAATCCCCATTGAACACCCGTGAAATTACCTCTTGAACTTACTACTCACCTCGTTGATAGCTAGGACTTGACCGTGAGCCTTCTTCACTCTACGCAGCTGACTCAAGAAATACCTGCGGATACAACACAAGGGAGTGGAGGGGAGAAGGGGGGGAAGGGGAGATGGAGCGACAGTCTGAAACTGAATTTGATTTGCGAATCAGCAAACTATTCGGCTGAAGAGGTTTCATAAAAGGTGCATGAAACGGAATGTCGCGACTTCAGCAGCTTGGGAATTCCAAAGGTGTCTCAAATCGAAATCCAGCTACGATCTATTCTTCATAAGCCATCGACCGCTTCCGCCAAAGGCTACGCCAGGGTCCAACCAGTGGCTGGCCGCGAGAAACGTCAAGAGCTACGCGGACTCAACGCGGTAGGTGCTCGGCCCACACGGGCGACGCGAATCGGAGCAAGCTGATCGAAATAAAACGTCTCATCTACGGCGGGGTTGCTACAGAGATGGATCGGCGCTAGGCTAACAAGAAACCATGGCGTCCCAAGAACATTACTGCGACACGGTACGACATAGCCCTAACTTCCGCCGCGCGAAGCTGCTCTCGACCAACCCACTCTGCACATCCAGCCTCCCAGCTCTCAGCTCGCTAGGATTCCTCTCAAAAGTCAAGCTCCCCCAGCCCCCATGCTCCACAACAGCCTTCTCCGCCTCCTTCCCCCTTCTCCGATTGGCATTTCACGTTCTAGTCTACACGCCAGCTCGCACGCCGATCCCAGGCAGTCCTAGCGCGCCACGCCAATCCATCCGCCAACCGACAGCTGCGACGAGCGTCTCGACTACATCAACACTGTGCGCACCCCACCAGCGCCACTGGACTCCGTCTCCGTCTCAGCACATCGTATCGCGCTTGCCCGCGTAGACCACTCACCAGAACTTGCTCTTGGCGCGCACTTGGTCGATGGCCCACAGCTTCATGCGGTAGATCTTGGGCGTGGGGTCGTTGGGGCTCGGGTTCATGCGCCCCACCACATGGTACTGGTGGAACTGCACGCACCGCACGGCGCGGCAAGGGGGAAGGGGGGAGGACAAACCGGGGGGAAGAGGGGGTGGGGACGGGAAAAGGGGGGAAGGGGGGAGGAGAGGGGGAACGGGGCGGGGAGGAGGGGAGAAGATGGGGCGGCGTGGCGAAGGAGGGTTGTCATGACGAATAAGACGGCGACGTAGTGCCGGTGGAGCGCTAAGAGACCGTAGGGAAGGAATGAGGCGAAAGGGCTAACGGATGGTGCGGCTCCTCTGGAGGTTCGTGACACCGTATCGCGCGAAACGGCGCGTAATGCAAGCAGGATGAACGCGAACGATATCGTCGTAAACTCAAGTGCCTCAGAATTTCCATAACGGTGCGCGCTTCAGCATCCCGAGAGCAGGACGAGGGAGGAAAACCTAGGCTTAGAAACAATTGTTAACTAAGGAAAATCGCCGGTGCTAACAGGAGGCAGCTACAACCGTTGGGAGCTGAATCCGATACGGTCAGCAAGGTACATCGTAACGACGACGGATTAGGCGACGCGTAATAAAAGGTACTATTGGAATACGCACCCGGTACTTCACCATGGTTGCAAGGGGGGTCTGTTCAACAAGGAGGAGGAGAGGAGGAGAAAAAGAACGGAAACTAGGTGAAGGGAGAAACTTGATGGGCCACACCAAGCAGGTGTAGTGGCAGGCAAGGTGGGAGGACTGGGCAGCTGCAAGGGAGAGATGAAGTGAGGAGAGTTGTGGTGGGAGGCAAGGCGAGCCGAGGCGGGGTAAGGTTGGGGAGGGAGGGGAGCGGAGAAAAGTGGGCGAGGGGAAGAATTGATGCTGGCGGATGTGGTGGAGTGAAGCGGAAAGAAAGTGGGCGGAGAGGGGAAGAATTAGGGTTGTGGCGGGAGGTGAGGTGGGGTAGGTGTAGGTGCAAGTGTTTCCTGGAGGGGGGAAACTGCGATGACGCTTTTGGGATTCGCTCATGCCCTGCCGAGGAGTTAACCTTTCAATTCAACTCGATATCTCGTACCCGTTTTGTTTGAAGCTGCGTGGTTTATATTTTACACTTCGAAGTAGTAACGAATCATTCTGTTCAAGCCCATTTGTCGCAGTGTCTTGGTTGTCAGAACTGAGTGTCCAGGCGGCACATGCTGCCTAGCCAGGAGCTCCTAAATATTCGAACGACAACGACAGACGTCGATGCCTCGTCCACGCGCTCAGTCGAAGATAGTGTTTTCAACAAAGCCTCGCGGCCCATTCGCGGCGCGTCGCAGCGCCACAGCGCGGAACCTCTTCGTTTTTCTCTTCGTTTCGGCTCTGGTGGGATTAGTGATTTTCGCTCAACGCCGAATTTTGAGTGAAGTGCCGACACGAGCACAAGAGCTCCCGTTAAAGTCACGTCTCTCAACCGATACTGCACCAAGGTCTGTAGGTTCTACATCTGTGAAATCGAGCAGCATCCAGCCAGGCAGCGACGAGTTCAGCAGCTCCTCCTCTTCCCTCCAACCGCATTCCGCCCATTATCATCCCCTCCATCTCCGGAGCCTCTTACCCGCCGATTTTTTCGCCCCTCGCGTCCCGCCCACCGTTTATCCGCGTTCTGCCGACCCGCACTTCCCGCAATCTGCGGCAAATCCTCAAAATGACACCAACACAGCCAGCCTCGGCAGGGAGCAAAATCGCGCGCGCAAGCACCGCCGCCGCCGCCGCCGACGACGCATTGGCGGCGGGCGCAAAAGCGGGTTGTGTATTGCGATCGCGTCTTCCCCGCGCCCGGATCCGCGGATGATCCGCGCGCCGTGGTTCACCGTCACGAACCTGCTCAAGGCGCTCGACGCCAGGCGCGCGGGGGCGCGGCCGCGCGGGCCGAAGAATTGGCGCGCATTCGCGGAAAGGGGCGCGGGGCTGTTCGACCGGGCCATGCGCGTTGTGGTGTACAGCGGGGGATGCCACGTGCGGGATGTGCGGAAGATGGCGGAACAGGTGGCGGAGGGAGAGGAGGGGAAGAAAGAGAAGGATGGACACGATAGCGGGTCTGTGAGTGGGGTCGAGCGGAACAAACGTGCAGGGGAAGAGAAAGGTGCATCTTCTTCCTCCTCCACCACCACCTCCTCCCCTCCTCGCTTCCACATCCCAGCCTCCTACGATCTCGCTGCTCACCGCCTCACCCGTGCCACCAACGTTTCTCTCGCCTCCACGCGCGCCCTCGTCGCCACACTCGCCACCGCCGCGCGCCTCAACCCGCTCGCTGACCCCCACACCGCCGCCATCCGCACCACTTCCGCTGCCCTCGCCCTCCCCATCGACATCCTACCCGCACACCCGGCCATCTGCGCCCTCCTAGACGACCCACTTCTGCTACTAAACAAAGTGTCGGCGGGAGTGGTGGAGAGCGAGGGGTGGGAGCGGTGGCGGTGGCATGTGAAGCTGGCGATGGACACGGTGCACGTGGTAAGGCAGTGCGCGCACACGGGCGCGCGCATGGTGCTGCTGCTGCAGGATGACGTGGTGCCAGCGTGGCAGTGGGACGTGGGGTTGGAGCGGTTCGTTGCCGTGGACCTGCCACGAGTGGTGGGCGCACGGGAGAGAGCAGAGGAAGAGGGGAGAGAGAGGAAGAGGGGAAGGGACGGGACGCAGGAGGGGGGACAGGGGAGGGAGCAGGAGAGGGAGGAGGAGAAGGCGCAGGAGAGCAAGAACGGGAGGTTGGGAGCGGTTGAGAGTGGCAACAAGGGCCGTGGCTCGCACTCGAGATACCCTGTCTGGGACGTGCTGTCGCTGTACTACCCACAGACGTACGGGTGGAAGCTGGCCCACGGGGCGGAATACCCAGTCCCTTGCTGCGCCCAGGCGCTGATGCTGAACGCGTCCACCGTGGGCGGGCTGCTGGCGCACGTGGAGGCGGGGCTCATGCGCGCCCCCCTCGACCTCCTCATCCATGAGTACCTCCTCTCTGGTGCTGTCCAGGAAAACGGTGGTGGGAGTGCCGCAGGGGAGGATGGTGGTGGCAGTGGAGACGGTGGTAATGGTGGTGGTGGTGGTGGTGGTGGTGGTGGTGGTGGTGGTGGTGGTGGTGGTGGTGGTGGTGGTGGTGGTGGTGGTGGTGGTGGTGGTGGTGGTGGTGGTGGTGGTGGTGGTGGTGGTGGTGGTGGTGGTGGTGGTGGTGGTGGTGGTGGTGGTGGTGGTGGTGGTGGTGGTGGTGGTGGTGGTGGTGGTGGTGGTGGTGGGGGTGGTGGGGATGGTGGTGAGGGGCGTCGTCCGCGGGCGTATGTGCACATCCCGTCGCTCTTCCAGCACATTGGGGTGGTGAGGACGAATGCGCTCAAGGGGAATCAGGGCCATCAAGACAGGCGGTTCCGACCGGACTATGTGGAGGAGCCGTATAGGAGTGTGGAGGAGGTGAGGGATGAGTGGAGGAGGAAGGAGGAGAAGGAAAAGGAGGAGCGAGAGATGATAAGAAAAAGGGCTGCTAGGATACAAAAGAAGAGCCGTACACAGTCAACAGGTGGAATGGTGGCTGGTGGTGCTACGATATAGGTGGTGCTCTGCAGGAACTGAGTTGGTGAAAAGTTGGCACAGATGTTGATTTCTCAACGTGGATACGCCAGCCGGTCCATGTGGAAGTTCCAAAAGCGAAACAAGCATTTTCCAGCTTGTAAAAAGGTCAACATGGTCCGTCCCCTTGGGTTCGAAGACTTCATGGGGCTCCCATTGGTTATAATCCACTTTCGTTAGTATATGGTGTAGTTCGCAACATGAATGCCGTTGGAGTGTACAGCGCATGATACATTATCGGAGACCTTCCGTTGGACCTTAAAGTCAAAGTTGCGGAAGTGGGTACGACACATGCACGAAGGTCTAGGGTTTCGCCATCCGTCGCTTGTACGGCACTCAAGCGTCGCCCGCAATCACACGCCACATGTAACGTGTTACGTGAACCTAGAGATCGTCCAGGGCAAGGCAATGAAAGGGATGCAGCGCGAATGGCAGAACCTGTGTGAGTCAGAGATTATTTCTTGTTGTGTGCTCCGATATCGCCCACGAGTCTTGAGCTGCGCTACAGTGGAGTGCACCAGAGAAAGGGGCTTGGATTGGATTCAGTCCTGTCCTTGTATGGCCGTCCGTCACCAGTATTTGACTGACCTCATTGCAAGGAGCCAGAGTGATTGACAATTCCGCAGAACTGTCGACCCGCAGACCTAGTTGCTAGTGAACCAGCGCCAGATTTCGCCAGCGAGATTAGTGACTGCAACGGAATAAGGCTTAGAAATCTGACGCTTGACATACCTTTTCCCGCGGAATAAGGCTAGATCCTGGTTTTGCCGAGTACCACAGTGCTCCAGAGGAATAAGGCAATCTCAAGTTAGCGACCTAGTTTTTTTGCTTCGCTCCGTTTAGAATTTCTTGCAGGAGTATTTCCAGTTCACAGCCGACCGCTTCCTTCTTGTACCCGCAGTATCCTCGATCGGAAATTTGCTATAAGAAGCGGCGCTTCATCCCTATATAGGTTTTTTTTTTGTTTCGCATTCCGGCTAATTAAAATGTCGGACAGCGAGGAGGACTACTACCAGGACTCGGAGGAGGAGGAGCAGGTGGACGACTCGGACGACGACGAGGACTATGGCTTCGACGACCCCGACGTTGACGATGACGATCCCGTTCTGCGACCCAGACAGGTGGGGATGCGGCCTGTTTAATGTGTGTTAATAGGCGAATTTTCCGAGTCTCTTTTGAGACTAGGGACAACTCGGGACCGACGAGGATTATGGCTTCGACGATCCAGACGTTGATGAGGACGATTCCGTGCTGCGACTCAGATAGGTGCGGCTAGAACCAATTAGAATTCTTCAGTGGCCGAATTTCGATTCCGGTGGCCCGGCGTTTTCGCCTCCTGACGCTAGTTATTCAAGAAATTAGTCCGTCGTGGCTTTTATTTCCGACGTTCTTAATCGTATTAACCACCACCTCGCAGACGCATATGGGAACGGCAGGCCCTTTGTGCTCCTTCTCCGTATTTTTCATCATATGCGAATTCGAAGTCTCCAATACACGGAGCAGGTGCGGTACAAGATTCTGTCGGAGAAGGACATTCTGCAGCGGCAGCAGGAGGCTTTTGGGTCGACTCAAAAAACGGCAGCCCGTTGTGCTCCTTCCTATTTCCCATCATTTGCGAAATGGACTCTGTAATACACGACGCAGGTGCGGTACAAGATTCTGTCGGAGAAGGACATTCTGCAGCGGCAGCAGGAGGCCACCGGCGACGTGGCGACGGTCCTCTCCATCCCGCTCGACGACGCCGCCATCCTGCTCCGCCACTTCAAATGGTCAGTGTCTGAAATCGTCAGAATTTTCAAGTGGTAGTCACTTGATGATTGGTCACCTGAGTTGTCAGTTACGACAGCCATAAGTTACTTGAAGTGCCAGTTGAAATGTCAGTCACTCTAGATACGATGAGGCCTTCGAACGGGCAGTCAGTCCCTGTCAGTGATGTTCTAATCAATCTGTCGGGTCGGGTCAAGTGGTCAGTCTCCTAAGTGGTGAGGCTTGCTGGATCTCGAATGGAGTTCCGTAAAGCAAAAACCTTATTTGTTCAGGAAAAATAGCAAGTGCATGGGGTGAGGACCGCATGAGGAGGAAGATGACTGATGGGGTGCCTCAGAGTCCACATCTCCAATTTAGCAAGAGCATCCTATTAAATTCCGTCCTGACATGCTTCCCTGCTCATGCCTCCCAGGAGCGTGAGTCAGGTGAACGACGAGTGGTTTCAGGACGAGGACCGCGTGAGGAAGGCCGTGGGGCTGCCGCGCCCGCACTCCCCCTCCTCCTCCTCCGCCTCCGACCGCCGCCCTGGCAAAGAGCCCGAGGTGAGGTGTTGTTGTGCTGGTGTGGGGTGGAATGGAGGGCGTGAGGGGGCGAGGTGAGCAAGAGGAGGAAGCGTGGTGAGTGAGGTAGTGCACTCCCCCGCACTCCCCCTTCTCCTCCTCCACCTCCGAGCGCCGCCCCGGCAAAGAGCCCGAGGTGAGGCTCTGCTATGCTGTGGGGTGGAATGGAGGGGAGGGAGGGCAGGGATGGGTGTGAAGAAAACGGGGAAAGGGGAGGAAGGGGAGCGAGGGCAGCAATTGGTTAGTGAGGGGAGCAGAGGCACCGCGTCAGGTTTGGTGCCGCTGTGTTGGCTGTGGGCTTCGTGGTACTCTGTACGGGTGTTGCATGGCCGGTGCATCGCTGGTGGATGGATGGTTTCTGGTTGATGGTTTCTGGTTGATATATGTATGGTGATGGATGGATGACTGGTCTGGTGGATAGATGGCGGATGACTGATGGTTAGATGGCGGATGGATGGTGGATGGATGGTGCATGTATTGCTGGTGGATAGTGCATGCATGGTGGTGAATGGTTCATGCATGGTGGTGAATGGTGCATGCATGGTGGTGAATGGTGCATGCATGGTGGTGAATGGTGCATGCATGGTGGTGAATGGTGCATGCATGGTGGTGAATGGTGCATGCATGGTGGTGAATGGTGCATGCATGGTGGTGAATGGTGCATGCATGGTGGTGAATGGTGCATGCATGGTGGTGAATGGTGCATGCATGGTGGTGAATGGTGCATAGACTCTGTTCTCGTTCCCACCACGTGCCCTGCAGTGAGTCATCCCTCCCTTTGCCCGTCCCCATGCCCCTGTCGTCTCCCCTCACCACCTGTCTTGTTCAGCCGCACCTGACGTGCAGCATCTGCCTGTTAAGGCCCCTCGCTATTCCCCTTCCCCATGTCCACCCCCCCCCGCTCCCTGCCTGTGCATGCAGCCGCATCTGACATGCGGCATCTGCTTTGAGACCTACCTCACCGCAGGCGGCCATGAAGCCCGTTGAGCTACTGCTTGTTAGAGTTCTAGCCCCTTCCCCATGCCCCCCTTCGTTTCCCCCTCCCCTGTCCCCTGCACTTCTTGCCAGCCGCACCTGACGTGCGGCATCTGCTTTGAGAGCTACCCGCAAGCCGCCATGAAGCCCGCCGAGTGCTTCGACCACTTCTTCTGTGACGCCTGCTGGCAAGGTCAGTGCTGTGTGCTGCTGGCAAGGTCAGTGCTGTGTGCTGCTGGCAAGGTCAGTGCTGTGTGCTGCTGGCAAGGTCAGTGCTGTGTGCTGCTGGCAAGGTCAGTGCTGTGTGCTGCTGGCAAGGTCAGTGCTGTGTGCTGCTGGCAAGGTCAGTGCTGTGTGCTGCTGGCAAGGTCAGTGCTGTGTGCTGCTGACGCGGTGCATGGTGTGAGGTGCAGCCTGCTAACGAGGTGCAGCCTGCTAACGAGGTGCAGCCTGCTAACGAGGTGCAGCCTTCTAACGAGGTGCAGCCTGCTGGCGAGGTGGGTGGGGCGGGTCTGGCGGGGTGGGTAATACTAGGAGTAATCATCATCAACATCCACAAACAACCCGTTCTTCCTGCCTCACTCCTTCCTTCCTTCGATTTCTTTCCTTCTTCTTTTTACTTCCCCCTCTCTGCTCACGCCCGCTCCCACTCTCTCTGCTACCCGTGCTCCCCCTCTCTCTGCTCCATCCCACTCCCTCTCGCTCCCCCCTCCCCCCTTCCCCTCCTCACAGGCTACGCCAAGGCAGCGGTGGCGGACGGGCTGGGGTGCCTCTGCTTGCACTGCCCGGACCCCTCGTGTGGCGCAGCGGTGGGGAAGAAGGGAGGGCATGAACGCTGTGCCTCACCACTCCCCTCCTCCCCCCCATCCCTCCCCTCCCCCTCCCCCAGGGTACGCCAAGGCAGCAGTAGCGGGCGGGCCGGGGTGCCTGTGCCTGCGCTGCGCCCCCTCGTGTGGCAGGTGGGGGTGTCAGGATGTTTGTCTGAGCCTGCACGCTACTCCTCTCCCCCCTTCCCCTCCTCCAGGCTACGCCAAGGCGGCTGTTGCGGACGGGCCGGGGTGCCTGTGCCTGCGCTGTCCGGACCCGTCGTGTGGAGCAGCGGTGGGGGAGAAGCTTGTGCTCTCGTCGCTGCCGGACGCCCTGCGCGCCAAGTACCTCAAGTACCTGCTGCGCTCCTACGTGGATGACAACCGCAATGTGAGTGTGGTGACTGGCTTGCTCACGTGAGTGTTGCTCTCATGTGTGATGTGGAGTTGAGTTGAACGGCTTCCACAGGCCTTGTTGTGTTGTGAGGCTGAAAGGGCTGCCAGACACCCTGCCCTGCGCGCCAAGTACCTCAAGTGCCTGCTGCGCTCCTATGTGGATGATAAACGCAATGTGAGTGCGACAGTTGTTGCAATGTGAGGGCTGTGCGGTGCTGTGCTGTGCTGTGCTGTGCTGTGCTGTGCTGTGCTGTGCTGTGCTGTGCTGTGCTGTGCTGTGCTGTGCGGTGCGGTGCTGTGCTGTGCTGGGTTGGGTTGGTTCACTTTCATGCTGTACCCATTCGACTGGTCTTTGGAGTGAACCCTGTACCCTCTGCAAGGAACGCATTCGACTGGTCTCTCAGCTTAAAACGCCTTTGCCACTCTCCCTCTCCTCCAAACAACTCCCTCTTTCCATCCCGTTTCCCTTCCCTTACGGCTGGCTCAGGCCAAGGGGTTGTGAGTATGTCTTTTTTTTCTTTTCCTTCGGCCCCCCCTTTCTCCCCCCTTCCCACCCTCGGGCAAAGTGGTGCCCTGCCCCCTGGGTGTCGTGTTTTGAGTCGACTCAAAGTAAGCCTCATTTCCCGCTCCACTCTTCCACCCTCCCTGTTTCCTCCTCCTGCTGCTGCTGTCCACCCACAGGCCAAGTGGTGCCCCGCACCAGGCTGTGAGTACGCGGTGGAGTATCTACCGGACTCAACGCACTACGACGTCATCTGCAAGTGCAGCTTCGCCTTCTGCTGGAATGTCAGTCCGCACTTGCCCTTCTACAACGCAACGCACTTGCCCTGCCCTGCTCTGACTTGCCCTGCCCTGCTCTGACCTGCCCTGCCCTGACCTGCCCTGCCCTGCCCTGACCTTCCCTGCCCTGCCCTGCCCTGCCCTGACCTGCCCTGCCCTGCCCTGCCCTGCCCTGACCTGCTCTGACCTGCTCTGACCTGCCCTGCCCTGCCCTCTCCTGCTCTGCCCTCCTTCGCCCCGCTCTCTCCTGCTCCGTCCTTTCCCTGCAACTACTCTCTTGCACCGCAAATCTTTCCTGCACCATCCCACGCCCGTTTCATGTTCCGCTGCTGACAACGTTTAATTGAGGAGCTCTCCCTTTCCACCAGAATTCCCTCTCATTCACCGCCTGGCCCTGCCTTCCCTCCGGTCATCGCCCGGCAGTGTTTGGAGGAGGCGCATCGGCCAGTGGACTGTGAGACGGTGGGCAAGTGGATTCTCAAGAACAGTGCCGAGTCAGAAAACATGAACTGGTATGAATGAGGCATCAATCAAGGAGTATCGGCCTTGCTTGCTCCTTATGTTCTTCACCTCTCCCCCTCCCCCCCCCCCCCCCTCTTTTCGTTTTTGGCTATTGGGAGTGAGACTTCTGTCCTGTGCTGTCCTCCTTCCCTCGTACTCTCCACCCACACCTGCTCTTTGAATTGATCCTCCTCAACGCGTGCGTGGCTGGCAGGATTCTGGCGAACTCCAAGTCGTGTCCCAAGTGCAAGCGGCCCATCGAGAAGAACCAGGGCTGCATGCACATGACCTGCACGCCGCCTTGCAAATACGAGTTCTGCTGGTGGGTCCCTCCCTCCCCTCGCCCCGCTCTGCTCTTCTCTGCTCTGCTCTGCTCTGCTCTGCTCTGCTCTGCTCTGCTCTGCTCTGCTCTGCTCTGCTCTGCTCTGCTCTGCTCTGCTCTGCTCTCCTCTTCTCTTCTCTCCTCTCCTCTGCTCTCCTCTCCTCTCCTCTCCTCTCCTCTCCTCTGCTCTCCTCTCCTCTCCTCTCCTCTCCTCTCCTCTCCTCTCCTCTCCTCTCCTCTCCTCTCCTCTCCTCTGCTCTGCTCTGCTCTGCTCTGCTCTGCTCTGCTCTGCTCTCCTCTCCTCTCCTCTCCTCTCCTCTCCTCTCCTCTCCTCTCCTCTCCTCTCCTCTGCTCTCCTCTCCTCTCCTCTCCTCTCCTCTCCTCTCCTCTCCTCTCCTCTCCTCTCCTCTCCTCTCCTCTCCTCTGCTTTGCTCTGCTCTGCTCTGCTCTGCTCTGCTCTGCTCTTCTCGCATCTTGTGGCATGTAATGCTCAGATGGTTGAAGGCGTGTGTGGTGTGGTTGGAGTGAGGGGGGCAGAGGGGCATGCGGGAAGGGGTTCTGCTGCTCTCTGCCTCCTCAAGCGCCTGTGATGCTCCTGTGCCTCCTCAAACGCCTGTGATGCTCCTGTGCCTCCTCAAGCGCCTGTGATGCTCCTGTGCCTCCTCGTTCTCGCTGCTGAGCTGCTGCCTGTTTCTAGACCCTGCAACGTTTCTCCTGTGCTTATCCCCGCCGTCACCCTCCCCTTCACCGTCCTCCTCACCGTGCCATCTGGCCAGGCTGTGTCTAGGGGCGTGGTCGGAGCACGGGGAGAAGACGGGTGGATTCTACGCGTGCAACCGATACGAGTCCGCCAAGCACGAGGGCGTGGTGAGCTTACCTTACCTCCCCTATGAACACATTACCCATCCCCCGCCACCACGCAACGGTCGTCGCCTTCCTCCTCCCTCCCCCTGTCTGTCTGCCAGACAGCGCCTTTGCCTTAGGAGACCTTCTGCTGAGCTCTGAGTCTTTCTGCTCCCCTTGTGTAATGCACGCTCTCTCTCTCTTGTGCCCACCTCACCTCACCTCACCTCACCTTACCTCACCTCACCTCACCTCACCTCACCTCACCTCAAGTGCAATTTTCGAGACGTCTCAGAACACTTCTTCAATCATGCACGCTCTCTCTCTCTCTTGTGCCCACCTCCCCTTAAGTGCAATTTCCCAATCGTCATCCCATGGAATGGATTGTACTATCATCACCATCTCCCTGCTTGCACTCTCTCCCGTTCGTCCGTACTGCCCCTCTGATTGGCTGTGGTGCGGGCAGTACGACGAGACGGAGAGGCGGAGGGAGATGGCGAAGAACTCACTGGAGAAGTACACGCACTACTACGAGCGCTGGGCTGCCAACGAACAGGTGGGGTAAGGGAGGGGGGAACAAGCAGGTGCGGGGAAGGAACGACACAGAGTAGGTGAGGTGAGGAGAAGTACACGCACTACTACGAGCACTGGGCTGCCAATGAGCAGGTGGGGCAAGGATGGGAGGGGGGTATGAGAGGGGTGGGGGAGTGGGGTGGGGGGGTGATGGCGAAGAAAAGAAACTCACTGGAGAAGTGCACGCACTACTATGAGCGCTGGGCTGCCAATGAGCAGGTTTGCTCGCAACTTTTTTTAGGGAGGTGGAGTGTGGGGTATGAGAGGAGTGGGGGAATGGGGGGCAGATGGCGAAGAACTCACTGGAGAAGTGCACCTACTACTACGAGCGCTGGGCCGCTAATGAGCAGGTGGGGACAGAGTGCATAGGATGGGAGGGATGTACAACAAGTAAGTGTGGGCACTCAACGATGTTGAGAAGGAGTAGCAGTGAAGTGAAGTGCACCCATTACTACGAGCGCTGGCTGGCTGCCAACGAACTTGTGGGGCAAGAGGGGGTGCGCACTTCAAAGTCTCTTTGACTGACGCATCGCCAAGGAGTCTCGATGGCAGCCGCACTGTCAAGAGAAACTCGTCGATCTTCATGAGGACCACCTCCGTGTAGTAAAAGGTGAAGAAACGAGAAGAGACTAGGCGGAGGTGGTTTCTATGCAGATTGAAGAGACTAGGCGGAGGTGGTTTCTATGCAGATTGAAGAGCCTTTCCCGACAGTGTAGCTGCCATAGGGACTCCTTGACGACGCGATTACGAGATTTGAAACGCATGCCATGTGTGGATTACGTCGCCCCAGAGGAGGGTGAGGAGAATAGGGTGTTTGGGTGCTTTCTGATGAGTTTTAGTAGATGGATTAGGGTGTGTGCGCGGTGGACTGGTTGTGTGTGGGAGCTCACAAGTTAATTATTGGAATAATTCCATTTGTTTTAGTTTTTTCGACTTCATTCTGGAATTGTGTGGTATTTCGGCACCTCTATCCCATTTTTACCCTCTCCCCCCTCTGCCCTCCCCCCTCCCCCCTTCCCCCCCCCCCCCCCCGCTTTTTTATCCTAAGCCCGAAAAAAATTTCTGCCTCGCTTAATTCAAGCATACATTTAGCGTCCGGGCCTAGAAATTAAAGCGGCCAGCATATATACCCTTCCATGTCCACTTAGCTTGCACTGGTGATGCGGTCTGGATGGCTACACATTGTCAAACCTGTTTTTGAGAAAGACCAGTGTGAGGGGATTTGTGGGTCAACCTTTGCAAGGGTGAAGATACAGGGTTTTTTTTTTCCAGCCAAGTCTGGTTGATTTCTGCTATGACCTCCCACCATATTTGTCCAAATGACTGTCCCACGCCACCGCCTCCCTGGATGCAAGTCTACCCACATAATGCATATACACATGCTTTTTCTCTCTCCCTCTCTCTCTCTCCACACTCCACCCCCCTCCCCCCCCTTTCCCCACCCCCTTGCAATGTGCTGCCCCTCCAGTCGAGAGTAAAGGCGCTCGAGTCGTTGCGCGAGATGCAAACAGTCAAGGTACTTCCACTCACTCACTGGTTGAATGGGGGTGGGGTGAATGGGTGCGGGGTGAATGGGGGCGGGGTGAATGGGGCAGTCTGTGTGTTGCAGGGTGGTTCCCATACCGCCTCTCTTTGTTTTCTCTTTTTTTGGTGGGTAGTTCGTCTAAGCTCGTGGTGTGCCTGACTCCTGATGGTTTCTTCCCTTTTTGTTATTGCGTGGTGTGTTGCATTACCTTCCATCGCGGCGTGTTGTGGGGTGTTCATGGGGGTGTGTATCGCCATGGCAGATAGAGCAACTGAGTGAGCGCCACAGCCAGCCCGTCTCGCAACTCAAGTTCGTCATCGATGCATGGCTGCAGGTGAGTCATCGATGCATGGCTGCAGGTGAGTCATCGATGCATGGCTACAGGTGAGGAGGGGTTTGGTGCGGAAGTGGTAATCTCTCCAGAACGATTCCGTTCCACATCAATCCCCTGCACTCTCTTGCTTCCTTCTCCCCTCCACCGCTTCCTCGCCAGGCGGTGGAGTGCAGGCGGGTGCTCAAGTTGACATACGCGTATGGCTGCTACCTGCCAGAGGCATAAGTGGTCGTGGCAACCCTCTGCATCCCCTTGCTTATCTCCCTCCCACTGTGCTTCCTTACCCTCCTCGCCACACCAGGTGGTGGAGTGTCGCAGAGTCCTCAAGTGGGCGTGCGCGTATGGCTACCACCTGCCCAATGCGGAGGTGGCCTTTTGAACCATCTGCACTCTTTCTTCCCTCCCCCTCTCTCCCCTCTTCATTAGGTGGTGGAGTGCCTTTGGGTCCTCAAGTGGACGTATGCGTATGGCTACTACCTGCCGGCCGGAGGCCGAGGTGACAATGCCAAATTTCTGCACTCTCCTCATCCCTTCCCTGCCTCCCCTCCGTTCTCCCTCCTCACCAGGTGGTGGAGTGCAGGCGAGTCCTCAAGTGGACGTACGCGTACGGCTGCTACCTGCCAGAAGCAGAGGTGGTCACATGATCGCTCTACACCCCCTTGCTCCCTCTCTCCTTTCATCACCAGGTGGTGGAGTGTTGCAGAGTCCTCAAGTGGACGTACGCATATGGCTACTACCTGCCAGAGGCGGAGGTGGCTCGTTGGCAGCTCTTTGAGTACCTGCAGGGCGAGGCGGACGCTGCTTTATGTGCCACATCTGACCCTCTTCACTCCTTGGCTCCATTCCATTTGCCCTTCCCCCTGGCGGTCACGTGCAGGTGGTGGAGTGCAGGCGAGTGCTCAAGTAGACGTACGCGTACGGCTACTACCTGCCAGAGGCGGAGGTGGCCATTTGAACCCTCTGCACCCACATGCTTCCCCCCCGCCACACCAGGTGGTGGAGTGCAGGCGAGTGCTCAAGTGGACGTACGCGTATGGCTACTACCTGCCGGAGGCGGAGGTGGCGCGGCGGCAGTTCTTTGAGTACCTGCAGGGCGAGGCGGACGCGGCGCTGGAGAATCTGCACAAGATGGCCGAGAAGGAGCTCGAGCTCTACATCTGTGACGACGGGGACCCGCCCCCCACTTCCTTCAATGACTTTCGGTCACGACTGGCGGGGCTCACCAGGTGAGAGCGGTGCGGGTTAGTGAGCAGTATGCGGTGTGTGAAGAAAGCAGGGGCAGATGGGGCACGGGAGCACAAGATGGCCGAGAAGTAGCTCGAGCTCTACATCTGTGATGACGGGGACCCGCCGCCCACCTCGTTCAATGACTTCCGGTCACGACTGGCGGGGCTCACGAGGTGAGAGAGATGGGGTAGTAAGCAGAGGTTGGTTAGTGGATGTGCAAGTGTGAGATCATTTGCACAAGATGGTGGAGGAACAGCTCGACCTCTACATCTGCGATGATGGGGACCCGCCCACCTCGTTCAACAACTTCCGCTGGCGATTGGCAGGATTGACCAGGTTAGTGGGAAGGGGTGGTATGCAATGTGGACGGGTGGGAATTGGTATGGTGAAGCTGGTTAGGTTAGAAGGCTGTGGTAGGTGGCTTTTGAGATGTTTCCAAGGATGGTTGCATGTTTCAGTAAGACAATTGTTCAGGCGCCGATTACTGTCTGGGTGAGAAGAGGAAAGTGACAAGGGGATAAGAAATAATTAACAGGGGAGATGGGTTGTGTGGCCATCGCACTCACCAACCCAGCACTACCTCCATCCCCCCCTCCCTTCCCCCCTCCCTCCTTTCCACCTTTCCCCACCAGTGTGACACACACGTACTTTGAGAACCTAGTGAGAGCGCTCGAGAACGGCCTGGCAGACGTCGAGAACGCCTCTACAGCCGCCTCCTCCACACGTGCCGCTGCTGCCGCCGCAGCAGCAGCAGTGGGGCGAGCCATCGCCAGCACGTCGCGCATCTCCCAGTCCCGCTTCGGCGCCCGCACCCGCTCCCGCACCACTGCCGCTTCCGCCGCCGCAGCTTCCACCTCTGCTGCTGGCTCGTCTGCTGCAGGCCCTAGTGGTTCGTCTGCGGGAGCAGCGGCGGCGGGTGGTGGGGGTGGTGCGGGGTCGAGCCGCGGGAGTATTTTCCGGTCGTCGTCGTCTCAAGCGGCCGCTGCGGCGGCGGCAGCGGCGGTGACGGTGGGGAATACGGCAGGGAGGGAGCGGGAAGTGACGGCGTATTGGTCGTGTGAGCACTGCACGTATGCAAACCCGTTGCCTGGCCGGGCGTGTGCCATGTGCCATCTGCCACGCAGCACCCGATGATGGGGGGATTGCGGTTGGCTGGGCGGGGCTGGGTTGTGCCGTGTGTAGCATTTGAAGCTTGATGTAATAGTGCTAACAGGACGGTGTAGCTTAATTTGCCTTGATCTGTAATGTGTCTTTGTTCCGCATTTGGAAAGCCAAGCACTAGGTGATTTATTGTGATAATGCTTGCTAATTGCAAGATGGAATTCGTGGCCGTTCTTTGGTAGTAAGATATGGTTCATGGTGTAGCATCATTGAATAATACACACTACGCGCTATCGCGCATTGACAATACAAAAGGTTTCCCGTCAGCGTGTCGACCTCCCATTTGCTGGGATGCAGAGCGAACGAGGGCCAGTCGTCGTCTCTTCAACTTTCACAGAAATACGCGGCTCGTTCTTCCTCCCATTCATTCACGTTTCGGTCGGTCGCGTTTGTGGCTCAGCTCGTTTGTTTACGGGTCGGTCTGCCCTGAGAAACTTTCTGACTGTTTCTCGTCAGTACTTCCGTCTACTGCACGCGAATTTACATCTGCGCCGTCATCTCCTCACAAATAACGACGACAGATGAACGTCCCAGACGACCCGTCCGCTTGCAGTTCCGTCTTCCATGCCACGCCAGTGCACCGGAACACACGATATGCGCTCTGCTTGTCCGCTGCCATGCATTGCATCTTCGCTCTGCAGCAGCATGATTTGACTCGAGTGCGATGCTGAGAGCATACTGTACTTCTGTTGCGCGTCTCACTCTCTCGACTTAGCTGCTGTGCATAGCTCCGGTCGAGCCCAGAGTGGGGTTGGCAGTCAAGTAGCGCCTCACCGTTTTCTGTAACCTGTTTGGCGTCGCTTCCTTATCCGATTCCCACCTCGCTGTAACCACTCTGCCGTTAGCGCCCCCGTTGCGCCGGAACAAAAACCGAAGGAAGGTGGCCGGAGTGATCAAGGGCATCGTAGTTTGGTCGAATTCCAGTTTCGCCCGATGGCTTCTTCGACCAGCCTCTGCAGCCGAAGCGTCAGCTTCAGTTTATTTTCCGGGTCCGCACGACGGACCGATTCCGTTCCGATCACGGATTCCGTCACAGCACGGCCGGTCTCAAACCTCTTCATGTGCGACGGCCTGAGATGTTCGCTAGACGGCAAATCTTCATCCCTAAAAGTCGCAGTGGTTGAGAGACGAAAAGCTGTCAAAGCACGAGCAGCGGCGGCAGAAGCAACGGCAGGAGGCGCAACGGGGCCAAGCGTGGTCCCGGAAAGAAAAAGCAGCGAGGCGACAGCAGCGATTCGTCCCGTGGTCATACTTCCGGTATGCTCCTTGCTCGCATGGCATGCGAGGAAGATGCGAGGACTCCTCCTCATATCGGATGCACAGTGCGCATCCACCTACGCGCGAATCGCCCATTTGTATAAAGTGAATTTTTTAGACGTCTCAAAAAATCACTTAATACGCGCATCTTCTCCATGTGTTCCTTCTTCGATTGCAACACGCCTTTCGCGTCCTCGCGCCTATCCGCGACCTCGAATTTCTTTTCCGTTATAAGCTGCTCCGCTCCCCGTCCATTCGACATCTCCGTGCGTGCCACGTGGCGAGCAGGGATTGGGCAACAACTCGGCGGATTACGCGGAGCTCGTCGCGCTGCTGGAGGCGCAGGGCATGGCGGCGGAGGTAGCACGCGTGGCGAGACCTGATTGGCTGCGCAACGCAGCGGGGATTCTGCAGGCAGACTACTGGAAGGGAACGCTCAAGCCCCGCCCGATCCTCGACTGGTGGGTGGGTTGGCAGTGGTGGTGGGTGATGGGTGGGTGGGGTATGGAGGGTGGGGTATAGAGGGTGGGGTATAGAGGGTGGGGTATAGAGGGTGGGGTATAGAGGGTGGGGTATAGAGGGTGGGGTATAGAGGGTGGGGTATAGAGGGTGGGGTATAGAGGGTGGGGTATAGAGGGTGGGGTATAGAGGGTGGGGTATAGAGGGTGGGGTATAGAGGGTGGGGTATGGAGGGTGGGGTATGGAGGGTGGGGTATGGAGGGTGGGGTATGGAGGGTGGGGTATGGAGGGTGGGGTATGGAGGGTGGGGTATGGAGGTTACAAGTGCTTCGATTCGGCCATTCCAGTTGGCTTGGCAGAGAGGATGAGAAGCACTTTTATGGGTGGGTGATGGGTGGGTGATGGGTGGGTGATGGGTGGGTGATGGGTGGGTGATGGGTGCTTGGGGTATGAATCGGAAGTGCCTATGCAGAGAAGATGAGAAGCGCGGGTGGGCTATGATGTAGAAGTGCCTATGCAGACTCTCGGTCTCTGTGCATCTGTGCATCTGTGCCTCTGCGTCCCGTCGTCCCTTTACCCTTCACCCTGTGTCCCTGTCTCTCCATGCCTGTGTTTTGAGATGTCTCAAATTTCCCTGACCCTGTGTCCCTGTCTCTCCTTGCCTGTGTCTGTGTGTTGCCATGTCTCTGTGTGCATGACTGCCTGCGTGGCAGGTACTTGGAGCGGGTGGCAGCAGCGGGGGGGACAGCCAAGAAGAGAGTCTTGGATCTCGGTGCCTCTTCGTCCTCTCATCCCCGTCCCTATGCCCCTATGTCTCTGTGTCCCTGTTTCTCTCTCTCCCTGTCCCTGTGTGCGCATGACTGCCTGCCTGGCAGGTACTTGGAGCGGGTGGCAGCAGCGGTGAAGGCAGCCAAGAAGAGAGTCCCAGGTATGCCCATGATACCGGGTGGCTTTTGAGGCGCCTCAAAAACCTGCGTTGCCGGGTAGCGCTTGTGACGCATGCATTCACTTGCGAGCGCCTGTGCTGTACACATTCCTGTACAGTCGCTCCTTTGCAAGCACTTCCACCCAAGGCACTCTGATACAATACGACCAATCCCTGAGAAGCATTGTATGCCGATGAATTCCTTCTCAAGCACATCCATTCTTGAGAATTGTCAAAAGTCATTCACAAGCTCGTACACACACAAGGCACTTTTTAAAAAACCAATCCCTGAGAAGGAACCCCGTTCATTCTGCTTTTGAGTCGACTCAAAAGCGAACCTCGTTCATTCTGCACATCCCAAGCACATCCATTCCCCACGTTCATCCTGCACTCCATCCCACAATGCCCCCCTGTCATCATATCTCACGCTGCTGTTGGCTTTTTTTACAAGGGAGCGCTCTCAGAGTTTTTTCACGCTTTATTCCCCCTCCCTCACCCACTTCATCCTCCCCTGCCAGGCGCCTCGCAGGTGTCACTGGTGGCGCACTCAGCAGGCGGGTGGCTGGCGCGTCTCTACCTCGCGGAGTACGGCCATGCTGACGTGGCGCTGCTGCTCTCCCTCGGCTCGCCGCACCTGTGAGTGTGTGGGGCAGTGCAGCGTGCCATGGCATGGCACGTTGTTGTGACGAAGGCGAGAGTGTGTGCTGCACTTGGGGACGAGTTGCAGCATGTGGACAATGGATGGTGAATTTGAAAAGACAAGTGTGCAAGCATGCAGCAGCATATCATTGCTGATTCTTCTTCTTCGCTGCCTCCCTTTGCATGTCCGCGGAATCGCACCCTCTCCTCGCCTCGCCTCTACCCCTCCAAATCTTTCTGTGAGCTCTCCTCACCCGTTTTGCTGCCTTTTTCATTTTCTCCATTTCTTCTCCCCCTCCCGGCATCACCTCCCACCAGCCCACCGCCCCCAGGGGCAGAGGGGGTGGTGGATCAGACAAGGGGCCTGCTAACGCACATGCAGGCCGTCTCGCCAGGCGCCTTCCACGCACCGCACGTCAAATACGTCTGCATCTCGGGCAGGTGAGGCTTTCTCGCTCGGGCAGGGCGGTGAGGTTTTCTCTCCTCAGCAGGTGAGGTTTTCTCTCCTCAGCAGCTGACGTTGTCTGCCTAAAACATGTGATTTCTCTTGCGTCTAGACCGTATGCCGTTGTAATACATTCGTTAGGCAGCCCAGAATCTTCTTATTCTGGCTGAAACCAGGTTCTTTTCAATTCGGGAATCTACAAACGTAGTGTGATTCTTCACGGCCTGCATGGATGTTTTTTTACTGTTTCCCTCCTTATTTACCCCTCCCAGCTCCCCTCTACCGTTGTTTTCCCGCTCTCCTCTCAAAATTTCTCAACCTTTCCGCATCATCACTCCACATAGCCACCCACCCTTCTAGCGAGGTGCCGACAGATTATATGCTTTGCTCATCACCTCCTCCGCACCTCTCCACTCACCCACTCACCCACTCATGCAGGTATATCAAGGGTTTACCCCTGTTCAGCAGTGCCGCTGCCACCCCTGCAGCAGACGCAGCAGACGCAGCAGCCTCTGCACCAGCCGCTGTGGCAGCAGTGGCAGCAGCAGCAGGGGGGGAGGCACGCGTCTTTGCCCTGGATGTGAAACCAGTTAGGGGCGCATCAGCAAAGGCAGGCAGTGGGAGTGAGAGTGAGAGTGAGGAGGGCAGCAGTGGGGCTTCAGATGAAGTCGAGGCAGGTGCTGAGAAGCAGGTGGCATCTGGGGGAGGTGTGTTCCAGGCGCGCATGGTGGGGCAGGGGTACAAGCAGGTGTGCGGGCGGGCGGACGTGTGGGGGGACGGAGTCGTGCCGGAAGATGCCGCCCTGCTGGAGGGGGCGGAGAATCTGATCCTGGACGGCGTGTATCACTCGCCTGTGGGGGCCAGTGACGCCCGGCCGTGGTACGGGTCTCCTTCTGTGCTGCCCTCGTGGCAGCACCACCTGTTTGTCTGAGTTGAGATGGCTTCGTTTGAGGCGCCTCCAAAGGCCAGTGAGGCCCGGCCGTGGTACGGGTCTCCCTCCGTGGTGCCCTCGTGGAAGGGAAGCACCACCTGTTTGATTTGGCATGTGGTAGATCAAATCGGCTCCCAAGTCATGTTTCAATTTACGGTATTGCCGATTGAGGGTCCATGTCAGGAAAAGAAGGGGCAGAATAGGAAGGGGATGGACTTTGAGTACGGAGTGGCAGGCAGTAGATTCGTGGAGTGAGAAGGGGTGAAATGAACGGATGGGTGCAGTTGAGAGAGGTGGGAGTGATGCGCCGTATCTCATCGTAGAAGGAGCGGCAGAAAGCTCAGCTTCCGAAAGCCAAACATGTCAAGGGGGGGTTTTGTGAGAAACACTTCATGATGGATGATGTATCCAAGCACGCCCGGGAAGCCCTCTTTATGCTATTGTCTAATAATGTTTTTTTTTTTCAGTTTTCTTACATAATCTCAATCTACATGTGCACTTATGTAGAGACCAATGTACCTATATCTAATGTTTGATTCTAGGCTCAGGTGATTTCGCCCCAATTCTCTGTATGTGCTTCATAAACGGATTTCCGCTTGAAGTGGAACATTTTCTCTTTGCCGAGCTTCAAATCTTTCGACGACGATGAATTGATTTCGTCCAGTTTGTAACCGAGCTCAGTTCTGCACCTTGATTGGCAGCCCCGAGGCTGGATGGATTTCGCCACGCCAGTCAGGCGAACAATTGAGTGCTCGTTTCCAGCCGAGGAACGTCCCTTGCGACGATTGCGATGGATGTCACGAAACCCTCCACAAGGTTTGAAGCTCAACGTGACAGCGTACCGTTCGCGGTTGTTTTCATCATGAGCCGAACCGCGAGCTGAAATCAACTGTCATGACCCAACGGTAACTAGCACGTCCCAGCGCCCTAGCAAGCCGTGGTGTGAAGTCCATTTTCACGCTAAACGTTTGAAGCTTCTCCTCCAAGCAGATCTAAGCAGCCAAACGGGGTGAACGTCAAAGCTCAAACCAGACTCGAGCCCCAACGCACTCCCGTCAATGCCAACGCCATCCACTTGGGACAAGCGTTTGTTTTCCACCTCTTTCCTCGGAACTGTAAAGCTACTAAAATCATATAGTCGTTTCTGGTCTTGCATCGTGGTAGAGTCATGTTGCGAGCATCGATTAATCAGCTGCCAGACGAGCTCGTGTGTGTCATCTTCCGCTGCCTGAACAAGCACTCGCCCAGCTACTTCAATCATGCGTTGGTCTGTAAACGTTGGAATCGCCTTGCCTACATTGCACAGCTGTCCATCGTCAACAGTCCACCTTGCCTTACAGTAGATGCTAACCTTCTAAAGTCCCTTTCCCGGTTCAAAGGATTTACTGCTCTCACGATCAACAAGTGTGTTATCGATCCGGATAATGACGAGTTCATCCGTGGCCTAGGATCAGTTTGTCCCCTCTTGACTCATCTTGACCTGAGCAACGGTTTTGAGAAAGGGTTGACGTATGAAGGCTTAGATTCCCTTTTCACAGCATGCACGGCATTGCAATACCTCTCCCTTGATATGATGGCAGCCTGCGGTAACAAAGACTGTGATTTGCCACCATCATTTTTCAGCCTTACATCCTTGAAAGAGGTCAAGTGGCGCGTGAGTGTCGAAGATATTCCTGATCTGTTCGATAATTTAACGTCCCTGACTAAGCTAACTTTCGCATCCTCGTGGAATTACGCCCTTCCAAATTCATTTGGCCGGCTCACTGGACTGACTGATCTTGAGATAAGCTATAATTCAGGGTTCGAAGAACTACCGGACGCCTGGTGTGACGTGAAGTCACTCATCAGACTCAGCCTGAAAGAAATGGATGTGCTAGAGTCTCTTCCTGACACCATCGGCCAGCTCCAGAATCTCCAAGAGTTTTACTTCGAAGCAATTTGCCTTGTTACCGAACTTCCAGACTCCTTTTTCCAGTTGACTTCTCTTCGAGTTCTTGAGATCGTAAAGTGTGAAGACTTCAATTCGCTTCCAAGCACTATGTCAAGCCTCGTTTCTCTCACGACGCTAACCATCAGGAACTGCCGGCTTTTTACTTCGCTTTCCGACTCTGTCTGCGGTATTACTAGCCTCCGTGCGCTGGTCATCAGAAACTGCCCAAGGCTCGGGGACCTTCCAGAAAGCATGGGTCGCCTGTCGTCTCTGGAGCATCTCGAGCTGTGCCAACTCAGAAGCATTACTCACATTCCGGATTCCTTCTCCAAGCTCTCCAGTCTCCGACACTTTTCCTTCAACCACTGTGACAGCATTCCCGTAGTCTGTCCATATCTGTTACGGTTTTGGAGCAGCCTCTCAGAGCTTGAGTTTGGTTGGCCAGCCAACTGCAGGGCCAGAAGCGAGGACGAAGAAGCCTTCATGATGTCTCTTTTCCGGCTCTCGAATCTTTCATCGCTCTTCCTGGTTGGCCCTTTAAGTCTTTCTTCGCTATCAGATGAGATTGAGAATCTTTCACGGCTGCAGCGGCTAACTTTAAGTTTTTTGCCCAATTTGGTCTCCTTGCCCAAGACTATTACCAGCCTCACCAACCTCAGGACTCTCATGATCATAGTCTGCCCGAGCTTTGAGGATGAGGATGATATTATCTCCAAGATTCCAAACCTCGACAGTGGATGTGTTGACGGTAGACTGCTGAGAAATGGGTCGTCTGGGGGGAAGAAGTGAGTGCTTAGGGTGGGGAGGAGGGTGCTGGAATGTTTGCAGGGTTGTTGGTAGGGTTCAGAGATTGGCCCGCTTTGATATACCACCAGTTTGGTAGGTACCATATGGTACCGTGTCTTGCCATCATGAACAGCATGCAATTGCAAGGGTACTTTACTTTGTGATGTCCAGATCACCCATCCATCGGTATTATATGCCTTATGGTCTGGTCTGGTCTGCAATTTACCGTACTGGCATGAGAAGAAAAAATCCAATTACGGTAGGTAACCTAGAAATAACTCATTTAGGTACATTTGAAAAGATTCAATTGCATGTACGGTACTGACCATAACTGCAACCCTACATCTCTGATGCACTTGGCTCTCATCCAGAGTAAAGCTTTTCCACCTGCAACTGTTTTCTAACCTGCACTATTGCATGGATATAATGTATCTCCCTTGCAGCCAGTCATGAGCCCCTTCGCATAAGTGAACCTGCTCCACCTGACTGCTCTCACAAGCATCCAACACCCTGCCAGGCCACACACACAGGCTGCAGGTCCAAGCCTCACCTTCAATATGCACTGCGCGATGACGTGAGAGTGGAGGGGTGAAACGATGTGCAGTGCGGTGGGCATGTGAAGGCAAGGCAGCGCGGTGAAAAGGAAGAAAGAACCATCAGATGCGCCTCAAGTGAGGCTGCTGCTGGTCGATCATGCATGGCATGCTATCGCCTTGTGGTCACTGCAGTGGGATTAAGGGGAAAGAGGCATGAAAGGGAGGGCAGATGTGGTACAGTGGGGATCGAGTGAGGCAAGGCTGAGTGGCCAACAGATGGGCTGGCACTTGCTCAGGAAAGAAGTCATATATAGAGGCAGAGGCAGTGAGAAGGCGATCGCAGCGAGCACGATGAGTGCATTGAAGCAT